CCATGCTGGCTCAGGAATTCTGGGAGTTGAAGTCCTCGAGTCATGAGGGGGCCGTAGTTCCCCCATGCTGGCTCAGGAATTCTGGGAGTTGAAGTCCGTGAGTCATGAGGGGGCCGTAGTTCCCCCATGCTGGCTGAGGAATTCTGGGAGTTGAAGTCCAGGAGTCATAAAAGGGCCGAGGTTCCCCACCCCCTGGGCTACGGTGTCCTGGGACCTCTGAGGCAGCAGGGAGAGGAGGAGGAGGAGGAGGAAGTCATCGGGGGGGGGGAGACTGTTGCCCAGAGCGATGAGCCCAAATTCTGGCTCCTCAGGAGCCCAGAGCGACCGGCGGTGTCCAGTTTCCCTTCAGTCAGACCTGCCCTGCCCTGCCCATTAAGGAGCCTTGGGGGGGGGGCTGAGGTGAAGGGGAGGGGGAAAGCGGAGCAGCAGCCCCCTTGTGCCCACTAGGCTCTGTGTGTGTGCTGGTCTTGGCGGCGGTCTCTGGGAGGCTGAGAGCCTGTGGGGAGAGCAGACGGGCAGCGCCATCCCGAGGCTGCCCAGGAGAGGAGAGCGTCAGGCCCCCAACTCGCCTGAGGTGCCTGGCCCAGCTCGGCCCTTGTCAAAGCTGGCGGAAGAGCTCCGGCGAGGAAAGTGGAACATGGAAGGGACCTCTGAGGTCTTCTAGTCCAACCCCCTGCTCAAGCAAGAGACCCCTATACACCATCCTGATCACCTGGCCGCCTAATCTCTTCTTGGAAACCTCCGGTGACGGCGCACCCACAACTCCTGGGGGGGGGGGAGAGAAGTCCTCCCACCGATTTCGATTGTTCCCCACGATCAGAGAATTTCTCCCGAGTTCCAGGTTGCTTCTTCCCTTCACGAGTTTCCATCGGTTGCTTCTTGCGATGCCTTCTGGTGCTTTGGAAAATAAGCTGCCCCCCTTTTCTTTCTGGCAGCCCCTCAAAGACTGGAAGACTGGAATGTTGTAGGAGGGAACTGGGAAAAGTCCTGGAAACAGGGATAGCCGTGCCTGGGATCTGCCCGGTCAGTGAATGTTTCCTGCTCTCTGCGCATGAGCAGGAGACCGAGGGTCTTGGGAGCCTCCCCCCCACTCCTCCCTCTGGCCTGGAGGTGGCCACTCTCCCCCATGGAGCTCTCCAGGCCCCTTGGAAGCCATTGGGGAGCGGCCCTGTCACAATGTACCCCCCCCCCAGTTGAGGATGTCCTGGAGGGGGAGGAAGCCCACCCACCTGCCCTCCTGCAGGAATTTTTGCACCTGGCTCACATCCCCCCTCCCTCCTGTTGCCTCTTTTTCCAAGGCCCAGCTGTTCTCGCCTGGTCTGGGGGAGCCCCCCCGCCTCTTGTGCCCTGGGGGGTGGGGGATAATGCTGGCAGAATGAGGCCAGCCCCTCTTGGGCACAGAATCGACCTCCAGCCACACAAGGTGACCTCTTTATGGAGCTCTCCGCTGCTTGTTTCTCACCAGCCAGGCCGGACCTTTTCCAGCTGGTCTGCAAGCTGAGCCGCTTCCCTGCTCCCCCCCCCAGAGGAAGGCAGACCCTTTGGGGGATGGGACCCCGTCCCTGACACAAGGCAGCTCCTTGTGGGGTTTGCCTTCTCCCCTCCCCCCCAGAGAAAGTTGCCCCGTCTTGGCCGCTCTTGTGCCCTTTGTAGTCTTCCGTTTCCCGAAGGATCCTCGTCTAACATCGTCGCCAAGTTCTGAATTGTGCCAGAAACCCAATAAAGGAGAGTATTTGTAGCTCCTTTGTGCTCCCTGAGCATCTTTCCTTGCGGATGTTTCATCCCCCCACTGGGGAACATAATCAGCGTCCGCGATCACCAGCATGGAGGACGTTCCCTACTTTGGGCGATGAAGGTCTGCAAGAGAACAAGCTCAGGGGCTGCTTTGTACCAGCAAGCCACACTGGCCTCCTGGCTCTTTTCCTCCAGACCCTCCCCTGGCAGACGGACCCCCCACTCACGGTCAGAGGGACCTCCCAGCGCTGCCCCAGGGACAGTCTAAGGCTGCATGAGAGCCCGGCATCTCACTGGCCCTGCAGGATTTGCATCCTGCACCGCACCCCGTTCCCCTTACGTACTGTGGAGGGTGCCCCCCCCCAGGAGTCTCTTCCAGAGGGTCTCGGCCCTGATCCTGACTTTGCAAGGGAGATGTTGCTCCTGAAGACTTTCTGCACACGACGCCCCTGTGGACAGCCAGAGAGGGCCAGGGACACAAGGCACCCACAATAGCCCACAGGGCAATGCTGCACAACCAGTATTGAGTCATCACACACACACACGCACGCACACACAAACACAAAAGCATATTTTTGTAGGTGCCAGTCCGGTTTTGGGGTCCTGAGAAGACACATGGCGGGAGAACCCCGAGCCCCAGAGATGACGGAGGAGGGATCTCATTGGGGCATTCTTGAGGACAACAGTTGCCAGGACCAGCACGTGAAGGGTGTAATAAAATCCTTTTATTGCATTTTGTGCAGACAGAAGTCTAGAAAACAAAATATACGGTATAAGCCTCAACACAAGCAAAGAGGGGCCGTGGCCCCATGGATACCTAACAGCACCGGCCACGCAAACACACTTGCGGAAAGGAAACGCAAGCCCAACGCACCTTCTTTTGGGTTGACGACTGAGGTTATTTACAAAGAGCAAATGGGTCGGCGGCGTTGCGCTGCACAAGTGTTCCCTAGAACACAAGGCCTATGAAAAAGCTCACAACAGCTATTG